CAGTATCAAAATTTAATCGTGACGATTTTAGTCATTTTCTAAGATTATTAATGTCTGCATATTGCTGGAAAGAAATGCTTGAATTGTAGCTCCTAATTGACTCTTATTAACGGTTTTTAAATTTTGTGGATTAAGTTCTGATTTTTGTCATAATTTAAGTGTACGAAGCAACAGTGTCTAATTTCGAATATTTAACAAACATTTTGCATCAAATTTTATAGCGCGTATGCACACATAATTTAAGTTTTATCATACAGTCAGTTTATTCGTTCCTAAACATTAAAACTCTTCAAATATTCAGTATTCAATGATAATAACTTATTAATCATTCAACGTAATCGTACGTTTCCATTATCTCTTAACACCCAACATAATCTCTGGATTTACTCCGAACCATAATCATTCTCCTGAATTATTCAACATACACGTAAAACAAAGAAATAAAATTGCAAAAATTCAAGTAAATAAAAATATGCAAAACCTTTGATACACACATAATTCATCTCTGAATTTGTCATTCATTATTATAGAAATCAGAATCCTATAAAAGCTTTGGGAGAGAATAGAATTTTCAGTGAGGTACTCATAAAAGTTTCGAACCTATTCGATCAGTGTTCCATTCGATAATACTTGAAAGTATTGTCTTCGTTTCTCCAAGTAATCGTAAAAGATTCGAGTGCACTTGGAAGTACTGTTTTTATATTCCGAAATACTCATAGAGGATTCCAATTTCATCAACAAAAATTTGAACACACTTACGAGATGTTCGACTCCATCGCTAATAATGACTATTTAAGTTCTCTTCGCATTCAGTAAATGAACATCTAAATATACCGAATAAATCAATTTACTACAAAATCCAATTTTCCAAAGCCACAAAATTATTCCAAACCATCCGAAAAAAGAAATGGTCAAAGTTTTTATTCCAAAATACTTAAAGAGTTGAACACACTTACGAGATGTTCGACTCCATCGCTAATAATGACTATTTAAGTTCTCCTCAAATTTAGCAAGTGTCCTCACATTTATGGATTACAATGCATAACTCAAGCCACCGGAAAATCCAAATTTCCAAAAACACACAAAACTCTGACAAATTGTTTCAAAATAAATGGCCAAACGTTTAACAAAAGTCACATCTGAGAAACCCACCCAGGACAATTCCTCCAACGTGCATACGCTTCTAATCCATCTCTTGGTAATTACATTTTAATACCACTTTGCGTTCACCAGTATCGAGGGGGCGCCATTGAAAAATCAACGAGCCACGTCCACGGGGTCGAAATGGGTTCCATTTCGAAGCGGATCGAAGGCAAGTTAAATGGAAGGATTCGGAATTCTCTTCTAATTTCGGTTCCGAATGTGTACAGGTGCTATCCATACGCGTAGCAAGGCACGTATCCTGGTGTGCATCGCGTTGGTCGGCTTAAAATCAGCCATTTAAATGGTGGCTCACGTAAAGCTCGTGTACCGGACCAAGTTTTGTCCCCCTGTTCCCCAGACCAACTCTCTCTCCTGCTTTCTGTTTCCCCCATTCTCTCTTTCTTTCTCTTTCTCTCTCTCTCATTCTAACACTTTTTCCCTCTTATTCCGGCCAGCAGCAGTTGTTCGAATCGAACTTCCCTCGATACAATTTAACGGCTTTCAGTGGCGTTTTCCCTTCGGTATTTACTCGGAGACGTCGTCGTCGGTGGAAACGCGGCCTCCGCTTCCGGCATAATGGGATCTTCAGCAACTTTCCGCCGTTCTCGCGGCCAGTCACGTTCCTAAGGCGACGTTCCTTCTGTAATTGACGTTTATTGTGCTCACGCAACGCACACTGAAAGTGTATCGACGGATGAACCAGTCCCTCTTTCCTTCGCGATTTTAGTTCTTTTTCTTCTTCTTTTTGCGGGTGGAAGTAGCGATGTGCATCGGTGGTTCCAAGTTCGAGGGTATTTTTGAGGTTATGTTTGCTCTGGTTGTGGATTTTTGAGAGTTTATTCGGCGAGGTAGCTTTTTAGAGACGAGGTGAGATTTGAGAGTGGTTCTGGGAGGTTAAGGACCATTTCGAGGTTATGTTTCGTGAAGAATTTACTTAACAATTGTTTTAAAGTCGATGAGGACGTTTTTGGAACATTGAGGACCATTTCGAGGTTATGTTTCGTGAAGAATTTGTTTAACAATTTTTTGGAGTAGATGAGGGTGTTTTTGGAAGATCGAGGACCATTTTGAGGTTACCTTTCGTGAAGACTATACTTAACAACTGTTTTAAAGTCGATGAGGGTGTTTTTGGAAGATTGAGGACAATTTTGAGGTTATGTTTCGCAAAGAATTTATCGATTCGTTAGTTTGGAGACGATGAGAGTGTTATTAGAAGATCGAGGACCATTTTGAGGTTACCTTTCGTGAAGACTTTACTTAACAATTGTTTTAAAGTCGATGAGGACGTTTTTGGAACATTGAGGTTACGTTTCTCGAAGAATTTATTAAAAAATCTTCTTCGAGTCGCTGAGGATATTTTTGGAAGATTGAGGTTACGTTTCGTGAAGAATTTATGTAATGTAGTTATTTTAAAACGTAAAATCGAGAATGCTGTGGTCGTTTATCAGCTTCGTACTTCCAAATTACACAAAGAAATATAAACAGAAGTGTGGAAGCCATTTTGATCTATAGCTTTGAGAAAATTTGGTATTTGCCAGATTGTTATTAGCAAATTAACGAAATCTGGAAAACGAAGGGTGTCAAGGTATAGGGACAACATTAACTCCCACCGATCTGAAACAACCAAACATTTCCAAATCGATTTCAATAAAATATCAGATTACACGCTCAAACAAATCCTCCATTAGGATCGACGTTCTGCTTAACGAATTAGCATTAATCCCCCTGAGTAGAATTAAAAGAGACAAATATCGCTTGGCCTAGGTGGAAACACTTGATTAAACACGTGCAATTAAAAGGCTTTAACTTAAAACCAATAGCTCCGAGGGAGGAGCGATACTCAAGGGGGACAGGGTACAGAGTAAACGTAGAATCCACATTTGAGCTTCTCTTTCCCACCGGCGGAAGTACTTAAGGTAATAGCATCGGGGTTGAAACATTGATCCGTGTATATCCGCGCGAAGAGCGCGCGAGGAACCACCTCGTCCGCAGCTTGTTTAGCGACAATGCGGTCCAGTAAGTAGGTTTCATGTTTACCGATCACGCCTCGCGGATAATGGCCCGGGAAACGAGCCGGAAATGGCCGACCAAACTTACGAACTCTAACCTCTTACGAGCTAATGGCCTCGTCGTGTGAGGTTATAGTTATTGCTTCCTCGAGGGAAAAATCGTGGAAAGTATTGAAACTGCTCGGTCATTCTGGATCAACGGGTTAGACCAATCCTGAAGTTTGAATAGATAATTTATACTTTCAAAAATATCATTGCAAGTTTCGATGTCCGAGATAGAGGTTAGGCAATGTGGCTGTAGCGTCGCCATTTTGTAACGAAATTGAATGAAAAAATTCCCTTACATTCTTCAAGAGTAGTACGATAAAGCTCTTACGAAAAATTTCAGATTGAGTCGACTATTTTCTTAAAAAAAAAATGCCAAAGTTAGGTATCATTTTGAGGGTTGAAAGATGGTCAAACCTAACCTCAAATACACTTTCCAATCTCATCTTAAAAATATATTTTATCATTGAGAATTAGTTTTACGATTGATCTATTTTCTCAAATACAAAATTATTTACACAAGGCGCAATTTAACTATTCTTCATTCTCCTTCATCCTCTTTACGAATCACTTACACACTGGTGTCACTTAAAAAGACACGTAAATTCGAGGAGTTCTCCGATTCTAGCGAATCACCGGCAGCAGTGGAATATTTTTATTTACAAATTCCGTATAGAAATCGTAATTACTCCCTTAATACCACGTGAGTCGTTGCGGAACAGCCGTCTGCGCGTGTATTTCCCTCCCGATGCCGAGAGATCGGGAAAAAAGCATAGTAATTAATGAGCACCGCACTGGGACACGATAATGAGACTTCTGTCCGTACGTGTACAGGAGCAAGGCAAAGCGAACGCTTTTCCCGCGCGATGTTTTGCGCTATTTTTATGTTATTAACGCGCTGGCCTCGCCTGCCCCCTGAACAACTGGATAAAACGTAACGCACAGGATCCTTTAATTATTCTACATGCTCGTGGAGCTTTATTTGTTGCTATTTCCATCGTGTTACGTTGTTTCGAGACACACGGGTCCTTCGTATCGATTGAAAATGGAACCTATTTTCACGGCTGATTCCAATTTCCTCGAGCCCTCTGAATCTGATAAATGCTTGTGCAATTTTCAGAATTTATTGTAGAATCCTTACTTTCTGTTTGCATTGCTTCGAAGATTTAAAGAATTAGAGAGGACGTGTGTTTTCGTGGCAAAGATTCGGATTTTTTCGAGGTCTTCGAGAATTTAGAATCCTTACTTTCCATTTGCATTGCTTGGAAGCCTTAAACAATCGAAATCTCATCGATGACTTTGAGGATAACGGGAATTTGAAGTTGATAAGGTGAAATAAATTCAGGACGATTTTCACCCCTTCACTGTGGACGATTAAAGACTTAAATAATTAGAGAAGACATATATTTTCGTGGCAAAGATTCTAATTTTTTCGAGGTCTTCGAGAATTTAGAATCCTTATTTTCCATTTGCATTGCTTCAAAGCCTCAAACAACCCAAATCTCCTCGATGATTCTGAGTACGACGACAATTTAAAGTAGACAAGGTGAAATAAATTCAGAACGATTTTCACTTCTCCACAGTGGACAATTGTCAATAGAAAAAAAAAAAACACGTGTCCTCTACTTTTTCGAGTAATACAATACGCCAAAGTTTCATATTATTTTAGAATCTTCCCTCTTACCATCCCTTCCGAATTTTAAAACAATTCTCATTCCTACCAGAAGAAAACCCCCCACGTTTCATACACCGCACGACGTGATGTAACAATAATAAAAGAAAAAAAAGAAACACTGAACTCACCAGCGCGAAGAGTGACCTCGCGAGAGAGCACCGTTCCCACGGAGCTGGTCGCGCGACACCTGTACCTCGCGTTGTGCATTTCCGCTCGAAAATCCTGCGCCAGAAATGGCGGAAAGTAGAGGGTGCCGTTCCCGAGCAACTGCCTGAAACACAACGAAAAAAGGAATCTGTAGAAAGAGGACAAAAGAGAAGAAGAAGAAGAGTTGGATAAAAGAGGAGGAAGTCAGAATGCTAACGTCTTCGTTCTCGCTTCTATTCACGTTTCACAATATAAATTCCGCGATTTTTAAACTTCCTCTCCTTTCACCGCCGTGCTCTTTCGCCACGATTACTCTTTGCCGGCGAATCGCCGTTTATTAATTTAAAGAGCCCCGGGAAAGCTTTTAAAGTGGCACGGCGGCGGGATACACAGTTTGCGGATAATTAAAATACGCGAATCGCTCAATGGAAACGAAGGAGAAGTTTTAATTTGAACCGCATAGAACCTGTTTGATAGGCGGCCGGCATAGAATCTTTGATGTTATTCGGTGTTTCTGATGTGGTTCTTTCTATACCAGTCGTTTCATTTTCCGAAGAATACGAAATTGCGAATTTCAAGGATGTTCTTTGAACGAATTCGAGAGATTTTTGTTTTCATTACCTTCCTGTAATATATTTTCAAATAAAATTGTAGGTACCATAGAGAATTCTAAGTATTT